CCCCGCGTATCTCACCGTGCCCAGACCCCGCGTATCTCACCGTGCCCCGCACCCCGCGTATCTTACCGTGCCCAGACCCCGCACCCCGCGTATCTTACCGTGCCCAGACCCCGCACCCCGCGGGCCACGGTCTCCAGACCGTCCGCGGGCCGCTGCAGTTGTTGCTCCCGACGGCGGCGCTGGTAGTCCGCGTCCAGCGTCAGGGAGGCCACGCCCTTGCCTGCACTCACATAAATCACAGGGTTAGTGTCCAAATAGTCATTGTCCATGTCATTTGGTCATTGGATAATGACCGAATAGTTGCGTATTTTTCGCCTATAGATGTGTGTGGGTCAACCTGACTCAGTTTAATACAGAAAAAGGGGCGCATCAGCGCAACGTTCGCTCGCTGCTTGTAAAGTGGGTAATAGAAAATCAATATTTGACAGAATGATGCAGTAATTTCATGAGTGAGCGGTATGGTAGCTGAGGTATGGTATTTTTATGGAAAAGGTATATCCATGCGGAAATTCATAAAAATGTATATTACTTACTATTTAAATTATAATTTACATAGGGTATCGAAAATATGAAGATAAACAACGGATAGCAAGAATAAATACGGTAAATTAGTAACATATACAATAATGCATGTAATTCAATGATAACATTAATGATAAGGCGGAATAATTAGTAACATTCTAGTAGTAAATGTTCTTTACAACGGACAAGATTTTATTATAAAATGTGATACATGAAATTGTTTACCTAGATACATAATAATAGATTGTATTACTTGCAATAACGTATGTATAATATCGCCACAATAAAATAATAAGGGTCGGGGCCCGTGGGCTCACCGATGGTCCCGGTGATGCGGGAAGCGACCCCCGCGAGGCCCCCCACGGTCTTGCCCACGAAGCTGCGGGCCCCCAGCACCAGGCCCTCGGCGAACTCCCCTGGGCCCTCCACTGCCCCCTGGGCCCAAATGACATGCGTGTGTTATAAGCTATATTTATTATATATATATATATATATATAATATATATATTATATATTATATTATATTACTATATTATATATAGTTATAACCTATATTTATTATAAGCATGCCATATATAACATACTCATGACCCACCTATAGCTATTATATCTCATTATTACCTATAGCCGTTGCATTAAATTACATACTGACCTGCAATAATCTATAAAGACCAGCACTGACCTGTAATGACCAGCACTGACCTGTAATGTCCTGCACTGACCTGTATAGGCTCATAGAACAGGTCGCCCATGCCTCGTGTCAGGCCCAGCACAAATGACAAGGGATTGCCCAGCACATCCAGGCCCAGCACCACCACGTACAGCTGGCTTAGCACCTGCAACACAACCATGCTCGTATGTTGCACCATCATACAAAGATGATGATGAATCATATATTGATATCATTCACCATCATCATCTTTGAACCATCAAGTGATATATTTGATGGTTCAAATATATCATTCAAAACTAATTTCATTAATTGTAAAATTTGATTCACAGAACTCGTTATTCTCCTGTAATCAGTTACCCACTCATCACCTATCGCCCATCTGGAACCCATCACTCACCCATCAGCGGATAACCTGTCACGTATCGTCAAACTGTCACTCTTAAATACATAACCTGTCACCCATCAACCATGAACCACCTGTCGTCCACCCGTCACCCATGACCTCTCCGTCACCTATGACCCACTTGTCATGCACCCATGACCCACATGTCACCCATGACCCACATGTCACCCATGACACACTTGTCACCCATGACCCACATGTCACCCATGACCCACATGTCACCCATGACCCACTTGTCACCCATGACCCACATGTCACC